CCAACGGCTTTACTTCCCATCCGAAGGAAGGTGTGATCAGAGATGTTATGCCTCAGAACATCCCGGCGGCGCTGACTGGGATTGAACCCAGGCCTGCTGGGGTTAGAGGTAATCACGCTTACCACTACACCACCGGCGCCGTTTAACTTGGACTTTAACCATGCCACATTTAGCTCTGAATGTTCGCTCTATAAAAGACTTTTTGATCAGAAGAAAAGCAGCTTGCGTTTCAATAAATAGCAACCAAGTTCCAGGAATGCGAATCAATTCGATTTTTTGTATTTTAATATTGCGGGGTTGTCAACAAACTACGTAGCATTACGTCAGATTGTTGTGGAAAAACGTCCTCTTTTAGTTTTCTTATCTGAAACTCATATTGTAGAAACTGAAGCTTTTGATCAGTATGGTATTCCGGGATATATTGTTGCTGCTTGTTTATCACATTCTAGACACACTGGCAGTGTTGCTATTTATGTCAAGGAATCAGTTCAATTCATCCTTCGTACCAAGGAAGTTATTGATGGCAACTGGTTCTTGGGAATTACAGTTGTACGTGGCATGAAGATGGGTAATTATGGTGTTTTGTATCATTCTCCCAGTTCTAGTGACCAGCGTTTTGTTGAAGTTTTAGAGAACTGGCTTGAGACATTCCTTGATTCTAGTAAATTAAATATATTGGCTGGTGATTTTAATATTAATTGGCGTGATAACCATAATTCGAATCATTTGAAGCGTTTAGCTGAGTTTTTTAATTTAAAGCAAACATTAAATGAATATACGCGTATTTCCAGGCACAGTAGAACTTTAATTGACCACGTTTATTCCAATGTTGATTCCATTTGTTCAGTTACTGATACTGATTTAAAAATAACCGATCATGAGACTTTAGTTATTAATGTCTTAGACCATGTTAACGATAACGATAATTTTGTAAAATTGAAGTGCTGGAGGAAATATTCGAAGCAAGCTGTTTCGAATCTTGTTGAGAGAAGTCTGGATTTTCCATTCACGGCCGGTAACTTAGATGAATCTACAGCTGTTCTTAATAACGCTTTGAAAACGTGTACCAATCAACTAGGTGAGCAAAAGTTTGTTTCTTTGAAAAACTCGAACAGCTGGTACAATTTGAATCTTTTGCGTCTTAAACGGAAAATGGACAAATGGTACAAAAAGTTTTGTAGATCAAATAATGAAAATAATTGGAATAGGTACACAATCGCGCGTAATAAGTATTCACAATCGATGAAGAAAACTTGTTGTGAATATGTTCAAAGGAAGATTGATCAGCATCAAAACAGCAAAGAGTTATGGAAAATTTTGAAATCTTTATTAAAACCTAGTAATTGCAAACCGCGGTCCATAACTTTTAATGGCACATTAGAACAGTCAGAACAAGTAATTGCAGCTAAGTTTAATGATTATTTCGATGATAGCGTTTCATTGATTAATCAATCTATTGAATTGGTCGATGAACCTGACGAAATAAAACAGCCAGTTAATAGTAGTTGTAGATTTGAAGTTTTTCACTCAATTACATTAGATGAACTTAGAGTTATTTGTTTTTCATTAGGAAAATCGGCTGGAGTAGATAATGTTAATGCTAGAGTTATTCAAGATTGCTTTCATGTCATTGGCCACATCTTGCTGGACCTTATTAATGAATCATTGCAGAATGGACATGTGTTACAAATTTGGAAGGAATCCTTAGTGGTTCCTATTCAAAAAGTTGCTGGAACGATTAAAGCCGAAGAGTTTCGTCCCATCCACATGTTGCACACATTAGAGAAAATTTTAGAACTTGTTGTTACAGGCCAGCTGTTGGAGTATTTAAATAGTAATAGTTTGTTGATACCAGAACAATCGGGATATCGGGAAGGTCATTCTTGTGAAACCGCGTTGAATTTGGTATTAGCGAAGTGGAAAAATAACTTGGAGTGTAAAGGTACGATTGTTGCTGTTTTTTTGGATCTTAAACGCGCTTTTGAAACAATTTCTAGGCCCTTATTGTTGAGATCAATCAAGCGCTTTGGAATTACGAGTACTGCATATAAATGGTTTGAAAGCTATTTGTCTGACAGAACTCAACGGACTGTTTTTAATGATTCTGTTTCCAGTCCCGTGGGGAAAAATCTTGGAGTGCCCCAGTGAAGTGTATTAGGGCCCCTGTTATTTATTATGTATATTAATGACTTGCGACGTGTTTTATGATTTTGTGACATTAATCTTTTTGCAGATGATACTGTGTTATTCATTGCAGCTAAGGATTTAGATGATGCCGTTTTACACTTGAATGAAGATTTGCGTTCTCTAAGTAGATGGTTGAAGTATAAGCAGTTGAAATTGAATACAAGTAAAACTAAATTTATGGTAATTTCGCGGGATCGAGTAAATGAGAACGTCTCTGTTGTAATTGATGATGAGACTATTGATCGCGTTCACGAGATTAAATATCTTGGCGTGATTATTGATGACAAACTTAAGTTCAACTCTCACATTGACAATGTCATCCAGAAAATTTCCAAGAAGTATGGAATTCTATGTCGACTGAAAAACGATTTAACTATTGCCAGTAAAATACAGCTATACAGATCAATCATCTCTCCTCATCTAGACTTTTGCCCTTCCATTTTATCTGGCCAATGAAACACAAATATCGAGATTACAGCGCTTTCAGAATAAAATAATGTGTTTGATTTTAAGATGTAATAGATTCACTTCCTCAACTTTGATGCTAGACGCCTTACAATGGTTGTCGATGAAGCAAAGAACACCACATTTCTTGACTTGTGCTTCACAAAATTCATTATATTATAAAGGAATAAATGTTTTCAATTCGATGCTTAGATACATCAAACGTTCAGCAACACTTACAGAATTTAAAAGACACTGCATTTCACACGTTAAAACTGCCTTTTGATTTTTTTTTTAATTTTTTATTTTTTATTAAAGAGATTTTTAGCCTTAGGCTAGTTCATCTCTATGTCTTTTGAACAGTTATCCAGTGATTTTTTTTTTATGAATTGACAAATTATGTATCTTGACGAAGTTATCTCTAACGGATTATTTTATATGGATAGCTGTCATAACGACTTTTTAATAATTATTGTAGCACTGCAAAAACTATTTCTGTTCGCCACGATGGTGATGATGGATTTTGAATATTTGATTTAATAATAGATTAATTAAAAAAAAGTAGTCTACAAAGATTTGAGCCTCGCGCGCGTTTTACGGATATAGAGGACTGAATTAAACATTTGATAAAAAAATGCAATTTTGAAGCTTATTTGGAAGATACCTTGAATTAGTAGTAAGTTTTCTGGCAAATGTTGGGGGTTCGTGAGCATTCCTGACATTGCTGAAAATTATGATAGCATCAGATTGCGGGGCTACTAGTGTAATAGGATGCTTTGTTGATTGTTCATTAACTCTTGATTGCTTGTAATACTTATGAATATTTTAGGTGGACAAAAAGGCGAGCTAAGAGGTGAGCGCCTGAGCTTTTCCACATTCATATCGCTGTGAAGCAACTGTAAACTCTAGAGGGAATTTATATCTGTAACTGAAACCAGTTCGATTTTGTGTTGCAAACCTGGTTAAATTGTCATATTTAATTATCTTAAAGATAAATCGTCCAGCTCAAACCTTTGTAAGGGTAAGAGGTGGGACCATCATCATCATCTTTATTAATCGTATATCGGTATCAAGTTTTAATTTTACTGGGAAAACGATGCATAGTTATTAAATGTGGTCACAGTGACGTATCAAACCCATGGCATCACGTTTATCAGTTCTCGAAGGATCGAATTGTTCGCCAGGAGTGGATTCAAGTCTGCTTGGGAAACGCAAACGAGGAAGAAATTCTTTTTTAAGATTTCTCCCCACGGCTGAATGAACTGCGTAAGCAAATCGTAAATTAAACTAACTGAGTTTCCAGCTATCAACTTTTATGATTGATAAATGTAGGTTCATTTTCTGAATGACAAGACGAATCCAAATGGAACCTGGATCATTCAAATTGACGTCGCTCCGTTGGACTATGAGTAGCAAGAAATGGATGTGAATGATTGATTTGTAAACTCAAACAAAAATTAAATCAGGAAATCTAACTCTGGGCTGACACGTCCTGTCCTAGGTTCTAACTAGTTTTCAATCCGACAAGTAGGCTTACTCAGATCAAGTTTTTCCGCTTTCGCTGTCATTGCGCTTGGGAAAAGGGAGGATGTTGAGTTAGAGTGGTAGATTCAGGAAATTTGTATGGACAAAGAGGTCGCAGTATCCTGGATTTCAATAGAGTTAGGGAGAGGTCGAGTAAGAAAAAGTTATCCATAAATCTTCCAAAATTATTCAAAAGCACCTTGGTAATCCGTGAAATACACAAATATTGCGAAAATTTGTTTATTTTTGGCAAATTTTAGTAAAAGATTGGTTCGGTTTTGAAAAAAAAAATCAAAATGCTAAAAGTCTGTTCCAGTTAGTATTTGGCCGCTTCTTATTAATTACTGTAGCGCCTCTAGTTGTCGCAGCAAGAAACTATTGACAGCGTTTTGATCCGGAAGATATTTAGTAGTGAAAATTTCATCAGGATTCATATACTTGTTCAAAGGTTATCGAAGATGGAACGTGACAGACGTGATAAAAAACTGCACACCCACGTCCCCAAAAGAATTCTGGGATCTCCGGTCGTGATTTGGCGAAAAGGTTCAGTGTAGCACACAGTACAGTTCAACGAATCTGTATGTGAGAAGGTTTCCGGTCGTCCCATGCCAGCAAACATCCCAACAGGACGCTGAAACAAAACCTGGTTGCCAAAAACCATGCAAGGAAGCTGCACGGGCAAGTTCTGACCAAGTATAACGGATGTATTTTGATGGACGATGAAACTTACGTAAAAATGAACTTTGGACAAATCACGGGCCAAAATTTTTGACTTTGCTAAACGTAAGGGGGATGCTCCGGATAAACACAATTGAACCATACCTACCAAACTAATTCAAACTTACCAAACTCTCGACGTCATCCCCGCTTTCGTTATAGTCGCTAAACTTCTCGAACGCCTTCTCCACATCCTCGGTGGTAGGACACTTGAAGAACTCCTCCAGCACCTTTCGCGTTTCGGAAAACTCGTACAGATAGTCGAACGTCGACGAGGCAGTGATGGGCGTCGTGAAAGAGCCCGCACCGAACGTAGGATTATCGTCGGCCGTAGTCGAAGTCAGTCCCAGCGATGGTTTAATGTCCGGCGTGGACCGTTTCGTGGGGATCTCCTCCTGATGCCCCGGGTCCTCGCTGCGGTAGTCACTGTCCAACCGTATCACGTTGAGCTTGTTCGTCTCCGATGCCGATTCCATCGCCACCGGTGTGCTGTTGATGCTGATCGTACTGGCATTGACGGCAGCCCGTTTGGCATCAAATTCGCTCAGCAAAGCATTGGCATCGAACGTGACCGAACTGTTCAGCCCCGAACTGACCTGCTCCAGTAACGTGGGAGACCGCGTCGGGTGGTACGGATAGTGACTATTGCTATTGCTGGTCGGGGTAGGAGTCGTGGCAGCACTCGTATTACTCGTATTCGCTGGCTGTGGTATTACACGCTGCGGGAAGCCTGGACGTGGCGGTGTCAGTAGCGATGGGGATGTCAGGTTTAGCTTGTAGTTGGACGACATGTAGTAGGACGAGTTGTCCTCATTCAAACTTAGCCCGAACCGCCGAGGGGATCCATCGTACTCTATTTCAAAGAAATGGACGAGAACAGACAAGATTGTAGGTTAGTATATGTGGTAATGGAGATGGAAGGTTCGTGTTTCCTTTGATTTCTTGTAACAAAACTTTCTTTACTATAGATAGTTGTTACAAAGCATATAATCCCTTTGAAATTGCTTCTTCGCTGTCTGTGGGATCATTCTCTGTACCTTTTCTTTGATATATTTATTACAAAAGACTGAGCTCACATTACCGACCAATTAGAATGATGCGTTGCCAACATATAACAAAACAAATAAAAGTTGAAGTTGAGAATAAATCCATCATTATCATAATTGATTATAATTGAATCATCGAATAAACGTCGCTGTAAATTAATTTACTTATATCCATATCTGTCCACCTAGGGCTTCTATCAAGTATGCACTATTTGATATTTGGGCAAATAGAATCTGGAATGCAACCAAATGAATTTTACAAATCGAAATAATTCCACTTCCACAATGCAGGCATCGAATATACTTGCTGGTTATATTACCGTACGACATCACAGATGACCAATTTCGATGAAAATTGAACCATTCCGGGCGCAACCCTGCCAATCGGGATACGTAGTACCGCCATTCCTATTCACTTCCATTCACCACGCCAACTCATATCTGACACAACAGATGCGGAAATCCTATACTCTGCAGCCGGCACCACGTACCTACATAGAACATACATTCAAGAGTGGTTGCCACTTTTGGTGAGAGCTATCGGATTTCCAAACCCTCGGCATCCCGTTCTTTCGGCACACATGTGCACACTAGAACTGCTTTGGGTTTGAGAAATGATATCAAAATCCAATTTATAAGGCAAGAGCAAACAATGTAACTCAGTCAGCCAGCGGGGAGCCCTTAACACACATTGCCGGGTGAATCTCTACTCTACTCGAGCGGACAGAGAATAGCAAATGTAAAGAATATTCTGCTCCAACCGGAATCGACATTCCTGCATGCCAGGGATTGATTTCTGTCACTGCAGAACTTGGCTTATACGGCTTTGCAACAACGGGAAAACTTTTCCCTCCAACCAACAAGAAAGCATGAATAGGTAAGCGCTTTGACCTGTTTCTCCTATACGGTGTTACATTGAGGCATTGAAATATCATTCAACCGTCGTCGTCGTCGGTCGTCACATTGTAGTTTGTAGTGAGGCCCGACAAAAAAAAAGCTGAATGCAAATGAGATTTTTCACGCTGCTAAGGGTTTATTTTCCAACAAAGTCGGCATTTTCCGTGAGACGAACTGCATTTTATGATAATTTCTGCTGAGCTTCCAGAGGATTTGAACTTTGAAAGCAGTCAAGTATGGCTGCCTGCTTTATTGCACGAGTGAAAAAAGAATGCTACATCATTAATGCGACTGAAGCGAATAAACAATATTGAATAGAATTTATTCAAAGGTTAGAGAGACACACATGACTTTTGGTATTTGATCACAAAACAAATTTCATTCATCAAACCCACATTTCATCATCTGTAACAATACGGTGTGTAACAAAAGCGAAAATTTCAAGCAGACCGAGCGCGTCCCGCCAGTCAGTCATAACCAGTTGGTAATTGTACACGAGAAGACCTCCTCGAGCTATGTGGTGGGCACACAAGGAACATACAAAAAAAAAAGCATAAAATACAGATGAAGGAAAACAGATTGCAGCGCTCGGAAAAGTCGCTGACAAAAACATTGTAGGCAGCGAATGAAAGAAGCAGAGCAAACTCCATCCGCCACCAGCGAAATGAGGTGGCAGACTTGGATACCTACAGTGTACCTCAAAATTGAGCCTACAGTTGTCCTAAGAATTTAGTAAAACGAGCACCATTTTAAGTGATTGATTTCTGATTTTTTTTGGCTACTGGCTCATCAACCATCTATCAATTTTTTGTATAGTATTGGAAAAAAGAAAACGCCTCATTATAAAGACCTTTCATAAGCCACAAATTTCACTAAGAAGGTTGAAAATCAAGCTTATCACAGAACTTCACTTCTGACAATAGAATCCAAAACCATACCGATAAATCAATAAATAGTTGTTCAACCACCAGCCAAGATTTCAAAAATCTATCTATTCACGGTGTTGCAAAAGATTTCCCCCTTCTCGGGCGTACGCTTAAGTTTGAGATACACTGTACGTATCATCGCCATCGCCAAACAGCCAGCTAGCCAGCCATCATCAGCTAACGAACCAGTCGGTCAACTAACTGTGTATAGCAGGAATTGTGTGTAACTGAAGGAAAACGGAAAATTATGGAACGAGGGGCTTCTCAAGTGATTTATTTATTAAAGCGCGTGTTTTCAATCGAAGAAAAAATTACAGGCTCTATCCAAGACACGACCGTAAATTTGGCGTAGGATAACGTGCTCGGTCTCAAAATTTGACGACTGTGTTAGGGAAAAGAGTTTTTCCCATCACGGAAACGCCTCGTGTTCCGATGATATAATTATTCATTTTCGTGCACAAAACGCACGATATTTTTGGTTTATTCAATAGACAATAAAAACAAGCGAACATTGGGTGAAATTTCTGGTTAACATTTTCCATTCGCAGGATATTCGCGATCAATCATATAAATTCGAGAAACCTTGCCTTTATTCGAAGTGTTTCTGGTTAATTGACAAGGTATTCGGTCATTGCTAGAATTTGTATGTACCACTTCAATCCTGTTACGCATTTGACCACAATCGTTTGGTTGCTGGGTACATTGTCGAAGAGCTTTGGGGGTTATGTGGGTGGTAGCAAGGCGCGTGAACGTTCAATAAAAATGAACTCTTAAACAACAATAATTTATTGTGGTCCTGAAAAGAACCGTTTTGTCGTGATGGTTGGGTACCCGAGCAAAGTCGGTTAACAAAATGAAAGCAAATCGATATTAAAGTTTGAAGTTCCTATCATAATGAAAACTCATTTTGATTTCAATTGTCGCGACAGAAGTCTGATATCATATTGTGCTTTCATTATGCAGTCAAGACTTTTTAAATCAAAGCAACTTAACTTGAAGTTCTGCTGTTAATTTCTTGTTTAACATTTGATTTAAGTTCATCGGTCGTTGAACTAACGATTATTGTTTATTTGTTTTGTTTAACACATTTTAGGTCATTCGTGACTAGCCCGAGATGAGATTTGAGCTTAAGTGTTTCAGCGTGAGAAGCATGGATGCTAACCATTTACGCCAGGCCCGTATTCATTTAAACATTATGAATGCAAAATCAGTAATCACATTGATTTTATTGAAAGCAGGATTAGTTTTCCGTTTGATTCAATAGTGTAAAATGTTGCTCTCATTTTTGCTGTGTTAACCGTTAAGTCAACCAAAATGAGATCAAATGGTGTTTTCAAAATAAGTTACATCATGCTCGGGTATTGGGGTATTAGATGGCCCACAACGGATCACGACGAGCTACTGATGATCGGTTTAGCGGTGTGGCTTCGTCCTCTTTCTTCGGTGAATCGAGGGCTGTCAAGAGCAGCCTTGATAGCTAGCTGCTTTCATTGTGTACTGGAGAACAATGCACCCCCACACATGGTAATTGAATAAGCACTGTTCGGCGAGACCGGATGGAATGCAATTTTTAAAATCTGTGTTAGGGAAAGCGCTTTTTTCAGGCAATCGGTGATAATTTTGATCACCATTGCAATAGTTTTTCATGGAAAGTGTTTATTATAGCAGATTTGTAGAAGAATTTCCAATCGATTGGCTTGTTTATAATTAAAATCCATCCGCTATTGACAGAGTTATAAGTGGTCAAAAGCTGACCACTTTTCGTAACATTGTCGATTTTGTTTTTTTTTATTTCACCCCCAGTATGCTGATGAAAGATGTAATCCTACGTCAAAAGTTGAACACTCGTTAATTTATTATAATTTTACTTCTAACTGTTGGTTTTATTTTATTCTCGGACAAAATGGGCCAAAGGTTTTCACAATACTGAAAAAATATGAGGTGGCCAGTGTTCCCGGAAAACTTTAGTACAGTTTTCAGAGCTTCTCGGACATCACTTTTAAAAATCATAACTCATGATTTAAGCATCGTAGCACAAATGTTTTCAATGATGAAATGATAAGCAATTTCGATGTATTACCAGAACGCTGGTGGGATGAATTCCAACATCGATGATTATCGCTTAGCGGTTTCGGATCGTTGCTTCGACGTCATCGCTCTCACTGAGACTTGGCTCAATACTCGCACATTGTCAAATCAAGTGTTTGGTTCCGAATACGAGGTTTTTCGATGCGATCGGAATCCGCACAACAGCCACAAATCTACTAGCGATCGGGTCTGGGTTGAAGGCAAAAGTTATCGAAAACGATTCATGGAATTGTGTGGAACAAGTTTGGATTGCCATTAAGCTCGCTGACCGCACTTTGTTTTTGTGTGTAGTTTACTTTCCTTCGGATCGAACTCGCGACTCTACGCTAATTGAATCCCACAGTCAGTCTATTCGAGCAATTTCTTGGCGATCATCTTACGGTGGATTCCTGTATCCGAACCACGACCACTCTGGAGCCTTTTGGATCATTACAGTATCGCCACTCTGAAGCAAATGAACTACGTGGTTAATGAGAACAATCGTAGCTTAGACCTTTGCTTCGTCACCGCTCAGGATACTGCTCCGCATTTGTCTATGGCTGTTTCTCCGTTGATAAAGACTGTTCCACACCATCCTCCTTTAGTTATTGCACTTGAAGGCAACCAAATTCCTGAGGTCATTCCACCCCTCCCTAGAGGTCTCCTACGATTTCCGAAATGCTGACCACGACAGTATCGGGGAACTTCTTTCGAATTTGGACTGGCACCGGATACTCGTCGCTGCCGATGTCAATGCAGCTGCCCAAACGCATATTTTGGCTTACGTCATTGAGCGACACGTTCCGGAAAAAAGTTCCTAAACAAGGTAATCATCATCCTTGGCAAACAAGTGAACTCCGTATGTTAAAGTCTTCCAAAAGAGCCACGATAAGAAAATACACCAAGTACTA